GAATATCAATTTCTATGGTTGACTGCTTGATTCACACAAGAAACTTTGCCCATATACGGGAGGCGAAATGTGGATTTTATAAATCATACGAAAAAGAAAGAGACATTCTGGGAAAAGCTGCAAAAATATCAAGAAATTGAGAGAAATGAAGTCGTTATCGTAAATAAATAAGGCGCTTGTCTCGTATATCACCAGACGTTAAAAAAAGTGAAATGGTAAGCGCCAGATTTCGTTTATATTCCGTTCAGACAAAAAAGAATTAGAGTCTGACAAGCAACTGCGAAAGTTTCGTAAGTGACTAAATTGGTCGGCTGACCATCAGCCATTACGTCAAATTATGTATAATTATAACGTATGAGATGAATAGAAACAAAAAAAGTCACAGCTTGCACACACTTTTGGACAAAAGACAAACGTTGTTTGATTACTTTAAAATACGGCCACGCACTAAGTTTCTTGGAGTGATCGCGTGTCGTTGGAACCGAAGTTCAATCATTTGTATTCAAGAGGTTCAAGGCAAGCGAATTACTTTAAATGCTCTTTTTGACAAATGTAATAAAAGGTAAATTGGAGCCAGTTGTGTGAAACGTTAAAAATCGGTTGTGAATAGTAATTGTTTTCAACAACTCTGAACAGCGGAAGCTAAAAAATGGAAGAAGTTGTCTGATTCAATGAAGCTACGAGGCTTCTCAGAAGTTAACTGTTCAACCGTGCTCCTCTTCAGTTGAACTTGTGATGAATACATTTGAGCGACAATAGACATACTATGTGTTTGTATGTGTATATGAATATCTATTTTCTTTTTCGAAAATGAGTGTTTGTGTGTGAATATAGTGAGATGAGAGGCAGATGAGCTAATGAGTTTGGCGAGAAAAAAATTATTTGCGATATAGTGTAAGATGGGTTAAACGGTTTATTAAATGAAGTCATAGAATAACTATGTGTGTATAATAATCTCATGGCAGTGCTTCTTCTGAATTTTCAATTCATTGAATTCAATTGTATTCGTAAAATGGCTCAGATCGCTTGCCAAATCTGGAAAAAATTAATTTCTATCATAATTGACAATTTAGATAAACTGATTTATAGAGATACATTAAATCAGTTTGAAAATTTGATTTGATTGTAATTTGAGTAGGAAGTGAATAGAATGAAAGGACATCACATGATTATACTCACCGAATAGGTACACGAGGGGAACGCTTTCCAAACCTGATAGGCTCTCCACGGAAGCGTTTATGAAGGCTGGCTTTTGTGAGTAACTCGTAGATATCTCCGTCATCATCATTGAATCCCTCATAATTTGGAGCAGCAGATATAACTTCCACTACATACTATATTATATATTATTATATATAAATATATATTATATATAAAGAAACTAACCAAAATGCTGAATATTGTGAGAAGAAACAAGATTGAGAAGCTGTTCATTTTCCCTTATCTCAAATTTCAAATATAACGATGAAGATGAATGAATAAAAGAATAATGATGAAAGAGAATAGAAAACATGATTGATTAGTTAATCAAGAGACGAATAATAGATATTTGATTTATTGCAGGATCGATTGAAGCCTGGTCGTATGCTATTGGTTGATACAGTACGAGGAGTTATTGAGCAAGATGGAGATCTTAAGAATAGAATTGCTAACAGTAGAGATCATAGAAACTTGGTAGCTCAACGTATTCATTTGGAACAATTACGCAAAGATGATATAGTAAGTTGATGTTTTCATTTGTAAAGATCATGCTGCATTGCTTGATGAATATGCTCAAGTTCATGTTTATGTAGAAAACATGAAAGAAATTGATGTTTTTTTTGGAGGGGGGAGAGAAATTAACAAAAGATAGATTACATTTTTTGTCTTTGAAGCAAAATGAGAAAGAAGTAGATGAAAATTGGTTTTTTTCTTTGTTTTAGAACGAAAACAAAAAGTGCAAACAAAAAAGAATTGGATTGTATGAAGATTATGCAAATTAATTTGAAAAGTTTGCTAAAAACTGTATTTCTAGCTTTCACATGGTGCATGCACAAGTGAATATCTTATCAAATGTTCATTGGATGCGTTGGGATTGAACTCGAAAAAGAATAATGAATCATTAGATTCGGATCGGCGGCTGTCATTATATGGATATACACACGATACATTCTCATTACTACTGGTTCCGATGATAAAAGAAAAGTAAGATTTCAGTCTTCTCTTACGACACTCATTTTAATTCCAAAAAAAACACTTTCTATCATGACTGCGATTTGTTTTCCTCTTGGCTACTTCGCAAGTGGACATTAAGCATTCGAAATGCGTCACAGTTTGAGATTTAATTTTGTGAAAAATCAACAAATTTCTGGTACATGATAGTAACCAGATTTGTAACGCAACGTCGCACTAATTCTCTTGTGATCAAGTCGAATTTGAGAGTAAACATCGAGAAAGATGTTTAGATGAACGGAAATTTTGATATTGAAATATTCAAAAAACGTAAAAATAATAAAAAAGTGTTGAAAAAAGAAAAAAATTGTTTCAAATTACCCTCTTTTTTGTTTGTAGAAAAGAAGCTCTCGGTTCTATGGGTAACGATGCTGCTCTGGCTTGTCTCTCAGATTTCAGTCCGCTCCTTTTTTCTTACTTTCAACAGCTTTTTGCTCAGGTTAGTGACGATTTTTCTTATTTGATTAGGATGTGTGTTAGATAGAGAAAGAGAGAAGTGATGTAGATGAGTTCATCAACTAGATTGGAGTTCAGTCTCATGCTCTAATCACATTAATGATGATGATGGTAGTGAATGTTTTTTTTGTTTGAAAGAAGGAAATTTTCGAATAGAAGAGATGAGATGAGAGCCATATGTTGCGAAATGAATGAAATAACATTTTCTGCTGCAATTCGTCACAATTCTCATGATATTAGGAAAGCCAGAAAAATGAGAAATCACGAGTTATATCTTCAAGCATAATGATTCTCGTTTTTCTGTGTGGGCAGAAGTAATTTCTCTTTGGGGGAGGCAAGTAATTAGTAGAAAGCGACGCGAATAGGATAGCTTTACTGCCCACTAGATATCTCAAATTCTTTTGGTTAGTATAGTATGGTAATTACTTGTCTTAGCGAATTTGCATTTTCTCGGCCTAAAACGAATGAGAAAAAGAAAAAGATGATCTTGAGAAAGTTAGGACATTCCCACATACGAAAAGATTTTCAAGTTAAGCAGTACAATCGAGGGGGGGGGAACGCTGACGGAACATTAAGTGTTTTTTTCAAAAGCCAAATGGCTTGAGATTCACGTTGTTGACAAAATAATGAAAAAAAAGAATCTTAAAAGCTAAGCATGAGGTCCTCATTATTCTTATTGACACCATTGACTTAAGAAAATTTTCCGAGACATTCTCGTAAGACATTGGCAAACTCATTGCTTCATTACTTTGACTAATTTTGTTGGTGTAGGAAGGAACGAAAATATTGTTTAGCGGCCGATGCAAATATAAGGTCTAACGAGGGTTCTCATTTTAAAAATATGTTTTGAATGTAAGATGGGGGTGTTGAACAATGAGAGTTTCATACTATATATGCCCGACTCCACCCTAACAACAAGACCCTTCCCTTCTCTCTATATGACAATATTAACATCAATCACCTGAGATTGGAGAGTCGTTGTAGTTGTATGAGTTAAGAAAAGAAAAAATGATGTCTCCTAGGATACTGGAAACGATTAATGACAGATATATTAGGTTGGCATAGTAAACAGATCAAATATCTTGGAATGACGCTAATTATTCTTTATGTTTTATGACCTTGTAGGGCAGATTCCGTTCGTTTCTATAATTTTAACGAAATGCAGAAAGTTTAAAGATGAAAATGGAGTGGGAAAAATAAAAATAGAAATTGGCAATATTCTCATGTGAATGACCAAAAACTATAATGATGAGATGTTTTTAGGTAACAAATCCTCCAATTGATCCATTCCGTGAGCAAATTGTAATGTCTCTACGATGTCCTGTTGGACCAGAATCAAATATTTTGGATGTTGAGAGTGTTATGGATAGCCGACTCATACTTGAGCAGCCTGTTTTGTCTCTTGTGGATATGATGGTAAGTAATAGTTCATCGAGTAAAAAACAATCGAATAGAAAGAGTGAGTGAGTGATGAGAGAAAGAATTTTAAAAGAACATCAAGTAGCTGTAATGACAATGAAAGGAAGGAGGTTTAATGAAACACAACTGAAAATATAAAACCATTTCCTATTTTGACCGACAATTCGTTCAAGTAAATAAATATTTTTCTATTTGGATTTGACTGCCGTCAAATGGCTAACGGAAAAAAGATATTATTATTCATATTTTTATGCTTGTTTTACAGACAATTAAAAGGACTATGTATCGAGGATGGAAGAGTAAAGTAATCGATATTACTTACCCTTTGAAGTATGGAGTCAAAGGTGAGACGACAACTCACGATGTTAAATAATATGAAGCTAATATTCAGGATTGATGCCTTTCTTAGACAGAATATGTTGTGAAGCATGTACTGCAGCATTAGATGGATATCCCATAATCGTTTTGTCTGACAGAAATGCCAGCCAGGTGACAGATTGTTTTTTTTTTTTAAAAAATAACAAAAAGTTTAATAATTACAGGAAAATGTGATCATTCCATCACTTCTGGCTGTAGGTGCTGTTCATCAATGCCTTATAAGACATCGTTTACGTATAAAAGTAATTATCTATAACAAGTTCATGAAAATTAATTTATTTATATAGGTTGCTATTTTCGTTGAGACAGGAGAAGCTCGAGTTGTTCACGATTTATGTGTACTGTTAGGCTTTGGTGCTGATGCTATCTGTCCTTACATGGTTTTTGAAACGATGCATCGTTTACGGAACTTAGGGCTCATTGAGTCCGAACTCAACGATGACATCATTTTCCAAGGATATCGTCAAGGAGTTGAACGCGGTATTTTAAAAGTAATGGCCAAAATGGGTATAAGTACTCTTCACTCGTATAAGGTTGTTTTGCCATGGTGAAATAGATTAACATTGGTTTTTAGCATGCTCAAATCTTCGAAATTGTCGGATTGGCTAAAGAAGTCGTGGACATGTGCTTCAAAAATACTGTATCCAGGTTGGGCGGAGCCAACTTTGAAACACTTGCTGGGGAGGCATTAAAACGTCATCGCTCCTCTTATCCTACAATTGACGGAAATAACTTATGTGGTTGGGATAAAACAACAAAAAAATTAACATTTATTATTTTTTTAGCTGATGCTCAAGCTTTGATTGCCTCAGGCACATATCACTGGAGAGCAGGAGGAGAAAAACATATTAACGAGCCCGAAGCCATTGCTAAGCTTCAGGTTACAAACAAAAGTCAATCAATTCTCATTAATATTATATTTCAGGCTGCAACACGTCAAAATAACTCAAAAACATTCAATGAGTATTCGCAAGTGTCTAACTTGGCTCAACGTATGTGTTCGTTGAGAGGTCAACTTGAAATAAAAACGAGCAAAAAGATTCAAATTCCGATTGAGGAAGTTGAACCTGCAAGCAACATTGTTCGCCGTTTTGTGACAGGTATACTCTTTTTCAGAATATTACAAAAACTATTCCAATTTCAAGGAGCTATGTCTTTCGGATCGATCTCGTGGGAAACTCACACAACTTTGGCCATAGCTATGAACCGTATTGGAGCCAAATCAAACACCGGAGAGGGTGGAGAAAAACCTGAACGCTATGCTAAGAGTCAAGATCCTGAACACAACTTGAGATCTGCAATCAAACAAGTAGCTTCAGCTCGTTTCGGAGTAACATCTTCTTACTTGGCAAACGCTGATGAGCTTCAAATCAAAATGGCTCAAGGTATCAGAAAAAAATGATGAAATCAATCTTAATTTCATTATGTGCAGGAGCTAAACCAGGAGAAGGAGGAGAATTACCGGGTTTCAAGGTTACTCCAGAAATTGCTTCTACTAGAAAATCAACTGCTGGAGTTGGACTTATTTCTCCACCTCCTCATCACGATATCTATAGTATTGAAGACTTGGCTCAGGTATGAAACGACTCAAACAAAACTGTCAACCTCTTTTTAGCTGATTTATGACTTAAAGTGTGCTAACCCACTCGCTAGAGTTAGTGTGAAATTAGTTTCTGAAGCTGGTGTTGGTATTATTGCATCTGGAGTAGTAAAAGGAAATGCTGACCACATCACCATCTCTGGGCACGATGGAGGAACTGGAGCATCTAGGCAAGTGTGGTTTTGAGATATCTGGAGATAAAAAATTTTAGTTGGACCGGTATCAAACATGCAGGTCTTCCATGGGAGCTTGGTGTAGCTGAAACTCACCAAATCCTAACCATGAACAATCTGAGAAGTAGGATTGTTCTACAAGCTGATGGCCAAATTCGAACAGGTAAAACTCTAAAGTCAATCACGAAAAAAGATTTTCTTCAGGTCGAGACGTTATGATAGCTGCTCTGTTGGGAGCTGATGAGTTTGGAATGTCAACAGCTCCTTTGATAGTTTTGGGTTGCATTATGATGAGAAAATGTCACTTGAACACATGCCCAGTTGGAATTGCGACCCAGGTATGATTAGTTTTAGCTTCCTTTGAAAATTAAAATTTTTCAGGATCCTGTTCTCCGTGCTAAGTTCGAAGGAAAACCAGAACATGTTGTTAACTATATGTTCATGGTGGCTGAAGAAGTTAGATATTTCTTGTCTAAGCTAGGTTTGCGAACACTCGATGAGGCTATTGGAAGAACCGATCTTCTGTATGCCAATCCCAATCCTGTTAACAAAAAGGCTACTCAATTGGAATTCGGGTCAATTCTGAAAAACATTCAGCACATGTTCCCTAACGTTTCTATCAAGGGAGGATCCGTCAAACAGGTATGATATAACAGTCGAAAGTAACTAAGTTTAAACATTTGTTTGAAGACTATTGAGCTTGGCCCATTGGAGACAGAGTTGCTACAGAACCTTGATGGTGTGTTCTCTGATGAAGGAGAGCACAAAGTTTTCAAAGACAAAGTTATCACAAACATTGATCGCGCTTTCGGAGCTAGAATCAGTTACGAGGTGATATTTTTCATATAGTGAATCCAGTTATTATGTTCTTGAAGATATCTCGACGTTATGATGAAGCAGGCCTTTCCGGTAACCGATCAATTGCAATTGAGCTGGAAGGATCGGCTGGCCAATCCTTCTGTGCCTTTTTAACTAAGGGAGTGACTGTGAGACTTCATGGAGATGCCAATGACTACGTTGGAAAGGTAAAACATTCAACATATGATTTCAAACATTCCAATTTAGGGTCTCTCTGGAGGAAGCATAATTATACGTCCACAAGTGAACGCTATTTTCAAATCAGAAAACAATTCTATCATCGGTAATGTAGCTCTGTACGGAGCTACTTCTGGACAAGTTTGGTTCCGAGGAGTTGCTGGTGAACGTTTCGCTGTGAGAAACTCCGGTAGTGAAGCTGTTGTTGAGTCAGTTGGAGATCACGGTTGCGAGTATATGACTGGAGGATTGGTCATAGTACTTGGTCCGATCGGAAAGAACTTCGCCGCTGGAATGAGTGGAGGAATCGCCTATCTGTTCAAGCAGTATGTTGAATTTTCATTTATTCTCCAATTGAGTTTACTTCAAGGAATGAACAAATCGCGCGACAAATCAATACTGCTACTGTTGATTTGGACAAGCCTACTTCTCAGGATTTCTCATTTGTTAAATCGAAAATTGAAGAATTCGTAAAACACACGGAATCTGAGCTTGGTCAACGTATTCTGGACAACTGGGACTCAGAAAAAGAAAGAATCGTGAAAGTTTTCCCTACTGATTATAAAAGAGTCCTTCAAGAATCCAAGAGAAATGAGCAGGTCAGATAAGATAATTTTCGAGACCAAGGTAAAAACAAATTTTCTAGGCCATCCCAAGTCCAACTCGTATTAGAAGACTGTCCATGGATATGCAAATCGCTCCATCTTCTCGCACCAGAAGCAAGCTTTCCCCAATTCGTCAGAAGAAGGTAGGATATTTCAAATAGTTTGAGTTTTCAAAATTGCGGTTACAGAAAAGTTTCCGTCAAACCAAAGCAATGCCAAGAGTTCAAGATTCCGTCGGTTTCGATGCCGAACAAGACATCACTGACTTGTTGGAAAATGACGAAGAAGAAGAGGAAGAAGAGTTCAGTGATGAAGATGCTGTAAGTAATTTGTGTTCATTTTCATCATCAATTTTTTTTTTAAAGAATGACACTAAATATTCATTGGATATCGAGAACACACCTTTGCCTCCCAATTTGAAGAACAAGCCTGAGAGTTACGACAAAGTTCGAGGATTTGTGAAGTATCAACGACAAAAGAAATTCTATCGTGATACTGAATCACGTGTGAAAGATTGGGATGAAGTATATGATTTCGAAGCAATCAGAAGTAACATCCGAGAGCAAGCCGCCAGGTACACTTACAGTTATTGCTTAAACAATTTTTAATTGAAGATGCATGGATTGTGGTGTTCCTTTCTGTCAAGGACATTCTGGCTGTCCTCTTGGCAACATCATTCCAAAGTGGAATGACTACGTTTATCGTAAGAATTGGCGACAAGCTTTGGATCAGCTCTTACAAACAAACAACTTCCCAGAGTTCACAGGACGTGTCTGTCCAGCACCGTGCGAAGTGAAACTTTCGTTGAAATAATTTAATAAGCATTTTTTATCTTCAGGGTGCATGCACACTTGGAATTGGAGCTCAGGCAGTAACAATCAAGTCAATCGAGTGTGCTATCATCGACTATGCTTTCATGCGTGGTTGGATCAAGCCTTCAACAAACATTGAAAGAACTGGAAAACGAATTGCTATCATTGGATCAGGACCTTCTGGCTTAGCAGCTGCCGCTCAGCTTAATAAAGCCGGACATACTATTGTTGTTTACGAGAGAAAGAACCAAATCGGAGGTCTTCTCAGGTGATAATGACGCACACCTAAAATTTAACAAATAGTTTTCCAGATACGGTATACCAACAATGAAATTGGATAAATTCCTTGTTGATAGACGTGTGAAGCTCTTACAAGAAGAAGGTGTTCGATTCTTGACAAACACAGAAATAGGAAAACATTTGCCAGCTGACTTCCTTCTCAAAGAGAATGACGCTATTCTCGTATGTACAGGCTCTACGACTCCTCGTGATTTGCTTGTGGATGGACGTGATGCAAAAGGAATCTGCTTTGCCATGGAGTTCCTAGAAAAAAGTCAACGAAGGCAAGCGGGAGAAACACTTCCATGGGAAGGATTAGATCCCAAAGATAAGAGAGTCGTCATCTTGGGTGGTGGAGACACAGCCACTGATTGTATAGCTACTAGTTTGAGATTGGTTAGTGTTACAGCTTAATAACTATGATAATTTGAAAATTCAGGGAGCAAAGTCAGTTAGAGCTTTCGAGATTCTCCCTCAACCAAACCCTGACCGTAAGCCAGAAAATCCATGGCCAGAATGGCCTGTTATCTTCCGAGTTGATTATGGACATGAAGAAATGAAGTTGAAGACAGGATCTGATCCCAGAACATACTCCATTTCAACTAAGGTAAAAAAAAGCTTTCTTTTTCCGGATTCATTAACAATATATGTTTCAGTCTTTCCGCACTACTCTCCACTCAAGCGGCCAAAAAACAGTAGCCGGCCTTGAAACAGTCAAAGTAGAATGGGAGAAAACTGAAACTGGAGGATGGAAATTGATCGAATTACCTGATAGTGCCGAATCAATCGAATGCGATCTAGTCATTTTAGCAATGGGATTCGTTGGACCGGAAAAGGTTTCGAAATTTTTTTTGTCTCAAGAAAAAATGAAAATATTTGCAGACTATAATAGATCAGCTAGAACTGAAAACCGACGTTCGATCTAATATTGACACACCCAAAGGAAAGTACAACACAGCTCATCCCAAAGTTTTTGCTGCTGGAGATTGCCGCAGAGGACAATCTTTAGTTGTATGGGCTATTAATGAAGGAAGACAAGCAGCTCGTCAAATCGATCAAAGTTTGATGGGAAAAACTCTTTTAGCTGGACCTGGAGGACTTGTTTAAATAATCTTGCTTTTAGTTTCAAAGTGTTTGAGGCGTTTATACAATATTTTTTTATAGAATAAATATAAAAAGGAAAAAATTATGTTTAATTTTTTCGGGATACGTTTTTCAGAATACGGTTATTCTCATCCAATAGAAGTAGGTAATCGCAGTCATCACATTTACAGCTGACGTCAACATCAGGTGAATTACTATAATAAGAATTATTATGATTAATAATTGTAGAAAAACGAACGAATTGATGATCAGCCTTCGGCAGTTAGGATCGCTGGAGGAAAGACAACTATCAATAATGGAATGGCATTCTTCGTGGTCGCAATCTTCCTCCGAGGACGATTCTGAATTTCTGAATTTTTTCTGACGCACCTTATAAATAGCTTACCTGAACTAAGAGGAGGAGGTACGAAAAATTGTACAGGAGGATTGCCCGGTGGTTTATATCCTCCTGGAGAGTTGTATCCTCGGGAAGGTTTATTTGATCCGTATGAGCTCTGTCTTGGTGTATAGTATGCTAAGACTGATGATGAGAGAAGTAAAACGAGGAGAATCTGTTCACTCTGCATTACAAGGGTTCAACTGAGAGAGTTCAGGAATATAAAGCTCATGCTTTATAAGAGAAAAGCAGGAAGTATTTTCTCTGAGTGAGCAATCAAAAGATCAAACTGATTGTCTCAGAACAAATTTTGAATCATGAAGAAAAAAAATCTTCTTCCTGTTTTGGTGGCATTCAACATGATACATCAATGGTCCAAATGAGGGGTATGCACACCTTTGTCCCACTTTAGAATATGAGGAATGACACATAGCCAAGAAATGCATAAAGAACATCCGGGTTTTATAATATTTATATTTTAACAAAAACACTTCATATATAATATGTAATAAAAGATTACTTCCGTATATTATATGATTATACAAATGTCTGATAGGTAATTATTAACACTGGCGGCAAGATATAAAACAAGATCATATTTTTAATCTTTGGGAATTTGTCCATGCACACGAAGTCGATACAAACATGTATAATCTGCACCGTAATTTTCTTCAGTTTCTAGCTCAACGATCTTAACCGGGAAGTTCGGCTTCTCCTGCAAATGCTTTTTGTAATCAAGTTCAATCAATTACACTAACCTTTATGATGAAGAACTGGAGAGCTTGTTCTTCAGTATCGTACTCAAACTCGCCAAGTAGTACTCTGGATTCGAGATCGTTTTCTGATTTGTACGCCTGAAAAAACCAAAAGAGTGAGATCATTCTAACTGCAACTTACCCAAAATTTCAATTTCTTTGGAGCAGAAGTAAGTTGTCCATCTGGAGTTTGGCTTTTAGCTGTAATGAGACATGAAGATTGTACTCTAACAATTCGCTTACCTATATGTTCATAGCTGATGCTGCTAATTGATATGGCGTGAGATAGACTTATAGTCAAGTATCCTTTCCCACTTTTGAAACACCAACATTCTCCAGGGAACAATGAGTTCGAGTTACGCTGAACAACTTGTGTAAAATGTAACATTCATTTATAACATACTTGAATAACTGTGCGGGGACCATAGCTGGTGAACCATAGAGGAATGTTCCAAATCTTTTCTAATCGAGAGTATGACTCGTAATTTTCACTACATCTGGTTGACAAAACAGAAGCTCCTGCGCTTTCCAAAGCATAATCGAACAGCCCTGTTTTATCAACATCATATTGGTATATAAGTTGACGGACGAATGCAGAAAGCTGAGCGAAATCATTTTGGCTCACACCTTTCTACAACAGTGTTAATATTCATTATTCAATATTCTTCGAACTCACCATTTTTTTCAGAGACTCGAGTTCATCTTCATAGGAGCTTTTGAACGACTCCAACTTCTGATCTATTTCTGCTTGAAGCTAAAAAAAATCACTGATATGCAAGAAAATGATTTCTTTGTCTTACATCTGCTTTTACTTTTTGTATAATCGCGGCTCTATCATCCGAGAAGAACTCATTGCGTACTATTATTGGCTCAACGGGCTTTGATGGCTTAATCGAAAATATAAACTATTTTTCAAAACCAAGAAACTTACTGTTGAAGTAAAAAGATAAACTGCGAAAGCTTGGCCTTTCATTAATATCAATAAGAAGAAATCAAGTACATACAATAGCCCTGAGTATAGATATTCTCGTAACTGGACTAAAAACGCACACAATTGTTGAAAATAGTGTTTCAAGTAGTGTTCGTTGAAGGAAGAACACCAAGAGGAGAAACTCTCGGTGAAGTAAGAGCACAAAGAGAAGAAACTCTTGGTGAAGTAAGTCCACAAAGAGAAGAAACTCTCTGTGAAGTAAGAGCACAAAGAGAAGAAACTCTCTGTGAAGTAAGAGCACAAAGAGAAAAAACTCTCCGTGAAGTGAGAGCACAAAGAGAAGAAGCTCTTGGTGAAGGAAGAACACCCAGAGAACAAACTTTCGGTGAAGTAAGAACACTGAGAGAAAAAGTTTTCACTCAATCCTGACAAAAACAAGAGGAAAGGTCGGTAGTAATGCTTGGAGCAGTGCTCTTTAAAGAGTGAACACTGGAAGAGAGACTGAAAAAAAAAGCATATTCGATAAGCTTAGCAAGCACTAACCTCTTCGAAAATAATTTGAATTGTTTCCATGACAGTGAAAGACGGTCCAGTGATGATTTCTTCTTGCTTAACAGGTACTTGCTTTGTTGTTTCATCCAGTAGATGCTCTTCGTTTTGTGGTGGTAGAACAGGAATAAGTAGAGCGAGAAGAAGAATCAGCAGAAAGAAGAGCCAAAACTTTCCATTGTTCATTTGCGTAGCAGCACTACTTGTGGCTCCCATGAATGAGTTGAAAAGCTTTCCAATAGCACTAAAGAGTGAGATAGATGAAGCTTTCATCAAATTCCAAACATTTGCCATTAATCTGAAAGCTCTGGTAAACTGAAGTATGAAATAAGTAATCACACCTTTGGATATTCGAGAGTACGTATAACACTACTTGTGAGACACCTTTGATTGCTTCCAAAAATGCAAAAGCGAAAATTCCAATGATATAAGCAGGGTAGTAGAACCAGTTCTTCCTATATTGTCCATTGCTCCTTTCATCTTGTGGCAATGGCGTTGAAGTTCTGTAATAAACATTATAACTCCATAATAAACTTTTATGTTTCGTTTACAGAAATTGGTCAGATATTGAATCATCAGAGTCAACTTCCACTCTTCGAGATCTTAAAAGCCGACGTCCAGCAACGTTTCTAAAATACATAGTTGTAACCAACATGCATGAGGAGGAAGAAGTATCTAATAAAAAAACTTACGGTTCTCTGCTGACGGGAGTTGTAGCACATAATTCAGCATCTCCTTTGATGATACTCTGTTTGAAAATAGTTATAAACTTGAAAACTAAGTATGTATACCATAGGTGTAGAGTCAATATCAAATGCGAGAGTCTGTGAAACTTCGCTGATGGAGACCCGTTTAGGCTTAATCAGCGCATCATGGATTGTACAAATGCCCATCTTCAGCTTTCCCAGAGTCCAAACTGAATGAGTTTCTTGAAGTTACAAATTAAACTTTCAAATGAACTAACCAATTCCTCTGAAAACGGCTCTGACGGCGCTAGCAAACAGTTGCCACAAGGCACTGAAGAAATTGATGGCTTTATGAGCCAACTCCTTTAGTAATTCAGCTCCTAGTTAATGCAAATTCATTCAATTCGTTAGTACTCAAATGACTCACCAATAGACACAAATGAACGAGAAATCGAAGAAGTACGACTAACCGACGACGTAATAGCAGTTAACAACAAAGAACGCAATCCAGTAAAACCTGACCAACCTAAATCAATCAATTATAAAAATCAATTAACTAAACGAATGTGTTCACTATAAGATGACAACGTGTCCTTTATCCGAATGGTTTGATATACAGCAAAGTTCTTGATTGCTCTGACCAGATCCACAACTGCTTTGCCGAGTACAAAAGTAAGTGATTTGATACCATGAGAGAGCAAACTAACAGATACGCCAACTATAATTTTGAATTTGAATCAACAAAAATTACTGTTTGGCGCCAATTTTCAAAAATAAATAGTTTGGCCACCTACTTGGAGTGTAAATTGCTTCAGCAATGTCCCGCACAACAGAAATAAACTTAAGGGGAATATCAATGAACACTTCTTCATAGCAAGTTCTTCCCAGCCGTCCAACAACTCCAAGAACAGTACATAGAAAATTAAATAACTAAACAAGTATCCATTAAGATATAATATGATGAAATATCTGAGTTACCTTTCTAAAAATAGGAGTTGTTCTGGTGGGTGTTTTCATATTGGCTCTTGTGAACTCTTCTTCAATCTCCAGATTGTTGGCCAAATTGGGTATTTCCCAAGCATCCGTCTCTTCGGCATTATAGCAAGAACTAAGTATAATATGGTAAAACTTCAATTACAGTTTCATAACGTACCTTTTAGCATATGTATAACGAGTTCTGTATCCAAGAAAAGGCGATGTTAACATAAGAGCTTCATTTTCTGTTAATCGTGGAGAATTGACTGTTCGAACAGGAGGACGATCAAATGACGGTCGTCTTTCTAAAATGCGCTCAAGCGAAGGCGAACGAGACGAGCGCCTCATCTACAATGATAAATTGATTGATTTCCTAATAATTTTAACATATCTAGAGACATTTATAACAGTTTGAGCAATTGAGGATAGGTCCAAGGGCAATAAAATGATCATTTTATTGCGAAATGTTATATAAAAAGGAAAGTTTTTTGTTTTATCAACTATTATAGTTTATGATAAGATTAAAGTAAAGAAATGTTTGAAATTCAATTGATAATATATGAAATGAGGGTTATTATAAATTAAAAGTTGAAAGTGAGAACAACATGATGAAAAAATATAATTGGTTATAGGGCAGATAGCGTTTGCTGTTTGCGACATTTTATGTTGTTGTGTATATGAGGCACAGCAGCCTGTGTGTATGTGTGCTGCACGCGTCTTTTATCGATTGGCAGGTCTCTAACACCTCTTCATACAGTATGCTATTTCGTTAAGTAGTTTCTCTTAAGACGTAGGGTTGCAAAGGTCACAAACTGACAGTCTTTTCAATGTTGTGACGAGATTAACGACGTTTTACGGTTGACTCATTCGAATGATATTTGCATTAGCCTAGTAAGTCCTATTGTTTCATAGGGAATAACGTCTGATCATCTATGACGATTGATCAGCTGTATATACAGGTAGGCAAATAGCTATAGCGTCATAATAAACTCTCACACACATACTCAAGTACTCATACTTGTGAAATATTTCAATCTACATGCAATCAAATGTCAAAAATTCGAAAAGAATGAAACTGAGAGGGAGAGAGAGAGAGAGAGAGAGAGAGAGAGAGAGAGAGAGACAATCAAACGCAACGATTGACCAGATGTGTGAAAAGTTGCGAATAAAATGAATAAAGATAGTTAGCTTTTAACAAGTTGACGCCCATTGTACCGCCCCATATTCAGGATTATCTCGTATTGCACGGACATAATCTATTCTAAGTAACGAATGAAATTTGATCGGAAATTATTTTTTATTGAGCTATTTAGCAGTATAGTTTTCCCAGAAGTGATTGAGAAAGTGATAACTATAGTTCCGTTTTGCTACTATCAAAGGCTAAAAGCGATAAAAGTTTCAAGTTTGACGTCAAAGATGCAAATGTTTCAATTATGCAAAAATGAGACTAATTGGGATAAGGTTAAGAGGACAAGAATTGGTAAAAGCCACATAAGGCTATTTGATGAATTACATAAATTTCCATCGCATATACAAGCTTCTAAATATCCTAAAACAAATGAAACTCATGCAAATTTTATGAAAACTACTAACCTTCGTTACTGGAAATCTTAGTGCAGTCGGGTCGAACACGTGTATGTGCTTTCGGTATACATGTGCGGAATATATTACTCACACCTGCATGTTGGTTGAAATTGAATGCTACATGTTGGTTTTTTTTCTCAAATACCGTTTTTCTCCATAAATAGTAATTTCAAACAGAGTCCATCTTCACAAAGCGGCTTTAAAACACCTTTTCTCAAAGCTTGTTCAACATAAAGATAAACAGATTAGCTTAACATGATAACTGTTCTACTTTGAAGTCATCTTGGCAGTATGAAGTTTTCGGGACCACTGTGATACCACTAAACCAATTGAACCAAATAGGATCTTGAATCTGTTTTATAACAATGGCAGGATCAACAGAGGCACAAGAGTAACAATGAATATCTCGTTGTTCTGAAAAATAGTAAGTGAGATGAGAATTAGTGAGATGAGAATTCAATTGAATGATTACAATCTAACCTGATTCAACGTAATGGCATGTAATGATAATTAATAATAACAATTGAATCATTGTTTATTAGAAGTGATACTTAGACGAGATTAGCTGGCGGATTTTGATACAAAAATGTGTGAAGCGGAAGTGAAAGATCCGCGTGAGATACACAAGAATCGAGTCGAAGGTTACTATTATTTGCTCACCACAAGGAAAAAAGAAGGATAATATAAGAGAGCATTTCGACTTCTGTGTGACCCGGAAAAAAAAATTTCGCTAAGCACATAAAAGAGTTCATTGAATATAAATATTGGGTCAGCAATGAACCTTTATAATATTCGGCTGTGATTAATAGACAAGTGGGTCTTATATGACAGAATGGCTGCTCGAATCATTTACTTCTCACGAAATGCCCAATCGCTATACCAAGATCATAGAAAAACGGTATTTCTCAGATCAGAAGCCAGGTGACAAAAAATTTGTTTGATATCTAATATTAGTATCTCATGCATCATCTGTCAACTCATTTGCATATAATGGATGACGTAATCTTTTATAATTATGAGATTATTTCTTTCTACCGAAACCATATGGCATAAGGTTGATCTATTCCACATATGTCTTTTCTACAATCGCTTGATCATCAATATGGTCAGTAGTCACACAAAGAGATTTGGATAATGAAAACAACCTCATCATGTGTATAGAAAGGGATTAGAAAATGAAAGAATTAACAAGAATTCATCAAATACGAATAATATAATATTTCTTATAAAAGTTTTAATATTCTATACTCTTATTACAATACAATCAGTTTCTATTATGGAAAAACCCAAATTTTTGAATAAAAAAACTGAAAATCTATGATTTTCATGAGAAAAATGTAAGAAACAACGAATAAAAAGAAGAAAAAACGTTCTTATAACTGGCATAACTGATAACAGATAAAGAAAATATGAAAGATGTAACCATGATCACTATTTGAACGCAGAATCTTATGAAAGAAGCAAACACGTTGGTATTATGCAATGAGATATATCCTTTGAAATGGAAATATCCATCAAACACAACTAAAAGTTTATGGTTGCTTTGATGCGAATATATCAAATCTACTAGGAGAAGCTTATTCGATTATACATACATAGATATTGATTAATTTGGCTTCTTTTAAGCAATTAATCAGAAAGAAGACAAAAAATAGCTCAAAGTAGGACACTAATCTCATTGGTGAACGAGAATGGTAGTATTGAAGCAGAGTATGTAGTTTGGTTTGTTTCGTTCATCAAACCAGACGTTAAAAACTTTCCATGAAATATATTATCGATTTGCTACTTGGTTCTATTTTTAAACACCCTATGAATATGAAGTTATCAAGTGTTTCATATGGTATCAGCAATTCGAAAACAGGCTGACTGAGAAAATCCAAACATCAAACATCTCTTTAGAGATGAAATTCGAAAGCTTCTTCGACTGAAACGTGTAAACAAAAATATGATCCTAGCATGAGAAAACTGATTCTACTCTGTACACCACATTTGTCTAATATGAGATCGTGAGACAAAAGAACATCTCGAATCTCATCAAACACTCAAACTCAACTCAATTTCAATAGAACGCTGAGAAAAGGAATGAATAGATAGTAAAGAGGATTTGAGGGACCGAGCACCCAAAACAAAGTCTGAACTTAACAAGTAATAGGAATATCTTTCGTTCATATGATTTCGGCAATCATTAAGTACAGTCAACTCTAGACAGATGGGTGCTTATCTTTTTCTCTCAGGATAAAAAATAGAAAAAATTATTACATCAATGAGAAAAGGAATACAATATCATGTTTGATCGGAATCGGAGAACAGTGTGCCTGATTATAACATCACATGAGCGTTATTCATTCAAAAACTCCAATAACAAGACACCGAATGGTATTGATTACATAGTATATCAAAAAAAAAGTGTACTTTAGTGACGCTTAAATAAGTGATTAGGGGGCGTGTCCCTTTTATGGTTTGTAGCTTTAGTGATGCCACGTGTTGTTTTTTGTATTATTTTGAAAAGTCATGCGTCTTCTCTTGTAGTACGGTATTGATTACTTGAATGAAACATTGGACTATTGTGATTGGGGCACATTTTCTATAAATGTTTGTAGTGTATACCGAATGTGCTAGGGATGACTTACGTCCACTAAACTATCACAAAGAGATACAACAGGTTTATTTCTTTCTAGATTTTCAGAATAGTAAAAGACAAAAAGTAAACAAATTTAAAGACTAACAAAAATGAAATAAGATCAACAACAAATGTCTATCTTAGAGATAACAACAACCAACAACCCAAAAACTTACAAACCTTAATCTACATACAATGACTTCTCGATCAATTTTCTTAACATCTTAATCCTAAAATATATCTTCTTATTTTCTATAATTACTTGCGGTATTCCACCGTCCTTTAAACATCTTCTTATCCTCCTTCCTCTTGATTATACCTCCTTTACGTGGATTGTCCACGTGCCTTTCGTGTGTTCCTCTCCTACATGTTCCATTCAAAACACACCATAAAAGGGTTGAAAATGAAAAATAATTTCATATTTTTCAGATATGCGATGAATAGATGGAAATAAGTTAAATGATCATTACACATCTTTATTTGAACCGATTTTTCTCGAATCATGTAACTTTGTAATACATTAATAGATTTTTATTCATATTGCAAGAAGTTGAATCATCGTTCAGTAGTAGCTTCGCCTGAATCGAATTATTTCCGTACGCTTGTTGGTGTATTTGAAATATATGATATATCCAAGTATAACAAGTGAAACGAATGTTATCGAAACCATCTATGTAAGCCGTCCATGTTCTTCGTATTTCCGAAAATAGCTCTTTCCTTTTCCCGGATTCCTAGGTTCTAGAGGTTTTCTTTGAAGAATGACTTATGACATGTGTGGTAACGAAATATGTTTACTAGCGAAGTTTTAGAAATTGTTTTGAAAGTGAGGGCAACAGAGAAATCTCAGGTAATAGTAATAAAATTATCGTTTTACTTCTTAAAATTGTAAAATCTAGAAATTTAAAACAAAAAGCTCTACAAGGTCCGACAGAAACTTTTAATCGAAAGCTGATGTGCATTTGCGCACAAATCGCGCAATCAATCAGCACAGCATTGTGGAAATACGAAATTGTCAAAATCAAGCTATTATTCACATTATGAAGGTATCTTGGAAGAATTTTTCTAATATTAATTCAATATAATGTAGGTCATTGTAGTCGACGCTCATCACGACTTTGTGATTCTTTTCTCAACGGATGCAAGCGCGATGATGGGGACCATGCTAATCTGCTGATCGAGCTCTTGTCGGAATTATGGTATCTTCGACAACAACAAAACCAAAACTCGCTTCGGAATATGGTCATTTCCTATCAATACTCCATTCATAACATACCATAAAAGGGTTGAAAATGAAAAATAATTTCATATTTTTCAGATATGCGATGAATAGATGGAAATAAGTTTAATGATCGTTACACATCTTTATTTGAACCGATTTTTCTCCAATCATGTAATTTTGTAATACATTAATAGATTTTTATTCATATTGCAAGAAGTTGAATCATCATTCAATAGTAGCTTCGCCTGAATCGAATTACTTCCGTACGCTTGTTGGTGTATTTGAAATATATGATATATCCAAATATAACAAGTGAAACGAATGTTATCAAAACCATCCATGTAAGCAGTCCATGTTCTTCGTATTTCCAAGAAGAGCTCTTTAATCAATATTTATATCACATATCTAACTATTTCGAACTTTTTGATAAGAAGCAATAAATTTCTTCAAGCCATTTCCTAATCCCATTTCGAGTGGTTCTTCGTTGAGCACATCTACTTGATTATCTCCATCTGACTCCAACGTGTCGCTATCTTCATTGTAGTTTGGTTCGAAAAGTGTACTATTTTCTAGAACATGTTCCCAAACTGTGTTGCTGCTATTGATTTGATCAGGTATTAGAATTTCTCTCTAAAATTATAGTATAACGATATTAAAATTGAGCAATAACATACTGGTGGAGGTACAGTTGTGCTGCTGACAGCGTTATTGCTTATATACCTTTTAGACAAATTTTCCAATATAGGTTCCTTATGAATAGAAGGTTTATCTAGCTTTCCATATCCTGCTTGATGAACAGCATAGAAATCTGTAAAGAGTTTGGTGGTTTATTGTTGAGTTTAACTTACTGTAGTGCAGATCATTTATCTTTCTGTAATTGGTCGATACAGTAAGCCATTCACTACTGGTTTTAAGCTGATGATCAAAATTGTAATTAACAAATCCTAAAGTTTCGCTTATGATATTATAATTCAAAATTGAAGTAACCTTGTAGCATATTCTTCTTTTCGTAATCCGATCTCGAATTGTTCCTCAGCAGCAACTCTTCTTTTGAAAAAGAACATTTGGGTGTCTATAGTCATTCAATTCATTTGAAAATCGAATTTAACCGAACCGAAACATAGCCACTACAATTTCCATTTTTTTTACAAATGAGAAGAGAACACTCAATCCGAAATCTATTGAGAATTTATATTCACAGTTGTTCAACAGTTTAATACCTTTCCTCGTTTTGAAAATTGAAAATATTCGAGTAAGCAGTGGGTACAGAGGTTGCATCTTGATACCGAATCTCACCCATTAGTTCTGAATCAACCACACATCTATGGAAATATTAATGATTGGACTGATTGATTATCATGCAAACCCATTTTCATCGATGAGGTGGATGATTTGCCCACCGTAAGCAATTGCATTACAAGATATAATACGGATCACTGTTCCGATGGCATCTAAATGAGAGATTAAGTGTTCAGGTTCATAATCGTTCCATACCAGTCCCTGAACACTTCCACTGATGAACAACATAATCTCCTGTTCGAAATGTTGTCGTTCCCTCTGCCATATCAGATTTTCGAACCGAATGAGAACACTGTCTAAAGTTTTCGCAATAACTGAGCATCATTCAAGTTACGTGTTTCATAAAAGTGTTCAGATGAGATTTTTTGCAACTTACAGTCCGTCTTTCTTTTCTTTCAGAGTTACTTTCTCAGTTAACTCTGTACAGGATAATGAATAAACAGTTGTACTCTTTGTAGTAACAAGAGGATGAAAACTTATTTCTAACACTGCTTCAAAAATTCGAGTTCCATTCTTAATAGAATAACATAAGTTTTCTCTTGAAATTCATATAAAACAACCATCAGGAACGTTGTTTCCGCACATGTAGCTAATGGCATAGAGAATGTTGCATTCTTATCCATATTTGAAGAGAATTCTTGATTACATTCAGGTATAAACATTTTCTTTGTCACCTTCAATCATTAGATTATTATAATTAAGTGAATAAACATAACATTACCGATATTCTTCCTTGGAACTGTATATTTGACTCGAATGACAGTGTCAAGTTAGTCGATGAACATTTCAACACAGGTTTTCCTATAAACGATGCAATCAAACAAACAAACAATAAAGATTTTCATTACCGATAATCCTAGCATTGTCAAATTCTAATGTAGCATGTACATTAGATAGAATAATTAATAAATTATTAATAATAATATATAAGATTGATATCATATCGTCAACTGATGATCAAGTTAAATCACAAAAGAGCAATGATGCATATGAGAATGAGAAGAGAACCAAATCTGAACAAAGTCTTTCTCGATATCAAGTATGTTCCTATGTCTTCATACGGCTCTTAGAAAACTTGTTCGTCAAACATGTTTTCAAGATTATGAGATCTAGTTAATCCATGTTGTTTTTTATGGAGCTAATTGAGCCTGAAGTACTCTTGAATCGTCATGATTGTATTTGTGTCAATGAATCTGTTAGTCATCATCATATCTGAAATAATTGAGATTATAAATAAGCATCATTAAGAATATCGCAAAACATATCAATTTATCAAAAGAAAAATACAAAGAAAAACATGCAAAGCTCCTAAAGACTAAGAAATCTGGTATTTCCATTAGAATATGAATTCAAAACATCAATTAGTCAAACAGTAGTAAAGTAAAACATACATACATGTTCCGGTTGTCATTAAAATGCTTGACCAATACAATTATATAGTTATTATTACTAATATGCAATGAAATAGAACATTTTTGATTTCAATCTGGCTTAGATACAACAAATTAAAGTTTAATTTTTCTTTTACTTATTGTCATATTAGCAAATCGAGCTAATGTGAAGAAGCTATAACACATTAAAGCTTGATAAACGAATATTAAAGTAAACATAATTACATTATTGAAGTTTAATGATATATTCTTAATAGATACATAAAAACGTTTGGCACTACTACGAGCAGTAGCAAATACTTCAAACTTGCTACGAGAAAAGCTGTTAGCTATTTCCTGAATATTTTAATTGAAATTTTTATAAATATTATTGATTAACTAACCGAATTTGATTTTCCTTGAGTTTCTGGAACGAAATAACCCACTACAAAGCAATATGTTGCTGTAGTTATTATGGATAATGTTAAACAAAAATAAATTCCTTTGCGGAGAAGCCATGGCACTAATACAGTCAGAACACTTCCAAACACGTTCTGAAAGCAAACTCAGTAGATTATGAATAACAGATCATAAAATACCTGAGCAACCGTAGCAATGGCTGTTCCTCGCGATGCGTCAGATGGATCAAATAGCTCTGGAACTATAGCGCAAGCCCCTTCAGCAGCAATAGCACCTAGTGCGACGTCTATGGTAGCAACAGTTGGAACTAAATAATTGAAAAAGAAATATCCGACTTCTGAAAAAATTTTTGTTTTCAACAGTATGATTCACAATCCAACCTTCACTTATTAGAAGAATAACCAATAAAGCAAAACAGATGACAGAACTGGCAGCTGTACTACTGATCAGCAGAGTTTTGCGTTTGAATTTATCAAAATAACTAAAGGATAAGATAAGTATCTGATTGATAGAGATAAACTTACAATACTAATACAACACTGATGACTACCATTGGCAAACACATTATAATTGATGAGAATTGAGCTTCTTTCTCAGGAAGACCGCCAACTTCAGTGAAGATTTGAGTTGAAAAACTAATCCAGACCTTGAAACATTAAAAATTGAATAAAATAATGAAACTTCAGAATTTTTACCCAATCATTCAGATGAACAAGCGATAATACGAATACACTACAGCATAGAGCTCTTACAAATCGCATATCCTGCAGATTATTTGATTATCAGTTTTCATTGTTATATATTAAGCTTACATGGAAGAAATCTTCTAGAAATATGAGATTTCTTCTGTTCTTCTGCTTTTTGTCTTTCTAAAAGACATTTTAGAGTTATCTCTTCGCTTCTTCTTATATATATCTCACCACACTTCTTTCCTCAACCATTTCGTTGAGAGAAGAGTCTATTTCTTCTGTATTTCGATAGAATCTCAAAGATTCTCTGGCTTGTTCATCGTTTTTATAATCGAACAAATATCTATAATGACCAGATGCAAAAAAGCGTTAAGTAATGTGGAACCTAGGTGAATCTGGCGCTTGTAGTATAAGGATAAAAGAAGGAACTAGTGCTATAAGTGGTAAGTACATCGGTAGGAACCAATTACTACTGTCACTCATAAAAGCAGGTATAACCATACCCAATGCTTCACCAATACACGCTAAGCATGCCTTAAAAACTATTTTTCATATAATTATCTATCTAATGTTTCATTATTACCAGTAGGGCAAGAAATGATCCTCTCTTATGGACAGGAGCTATTTCAGATACTAAAGTACTACCAAATACCTTAATATATATTAATATTATAAATAAAATATAATTTTATTACTTACAAGAGTAATAGATGTTCCTATACCATTCAATAATCGACCCATTATTGATATTTCTACTCCCCATTGATCTTGTAGTTCGATACAGTATGTTGCACAAATCCCCAAAATACTTATGAATATACCTTTAAATATATATTTCTATCTATATCTTATACAATTTCAATTAAGAAAACTTGAATTGATATGAAAGGAATTCAATACAAATATGTATGCATATTCGTTTGAGTTTCAACATTCCTCTCGAAGCAATCCAACTGGACTTTTTAAAAAAAACCTTGTAAAACGGGTTTTTTTCTGCCGGATGAGTTAGGTATGAGAATAGAGAAGAGACTACCAAACGCCATTCCTAATGTACGTGCAGCAATAAATCGTGCCCATACACGTTCAGCTGAAAATATTATGATAATTTATATGATATGATAATAATGATAAACCATCTTCTCCATTTCCATAAATACTAGTAAGATATTTGTGAGCTGATGGCTGAAGGTTATCAACAACTGAATCTAGATAAAGCTATAAAAAGATATATTAATATATAATAATAATGATAATTATAAATATTACCTGAAAATGACTACCTAGGGAACAACAAAATGATATTGTGAACAAATGAATTTCAGGACTAGCATAGTGTTTACCAAAAAATTGCATTTAATCTTTAATTTATAATGATTAGAGATATGTTGATAGATAGATTGATAGAGATGATAGGAAAACGTCTTACCCGTAAAATATCAGCTGAATATAATGAAAGTTAGAATAAACGAAGTCTGCTAGTCTATAAGATCTCTATATTAGTATCTAACTGGATATCTGAAAAGATGAAAATCAGGAACATCTTGGTGCGCAAAAGAATAAAGAAAGATGTTGAATGAGGAAATGATAGCATCACTCTCATAAAAGCTGTATTTCATGACTTCAAATCATTTCAGCGAAATCGTCTAAAGAGCTATGCAAAGATCAAAAAACGTTATACCGATAACAAAAAGAACTTCTTCAATGAACTTAAAGGTGTATTATATCTCGTTCTCTATTGTATTGCAATCAGATATAGTTCAAGTTGACACAATTTTCTTTCGAACAAAAATCTGTGCAATCAAGTGAAATTGTTTTTATATCTTCACTTTCAAGACAATATTTTACTTTCTATACAAGATTATACAGTATGGAGTTTGAACATGGATAATGATGAACAGAACACTACTCATATCTCATGTATACTGTTTATATATTCAAATGAGAAGAGGAAAGATGATCTCTCACACACTCTTATCTACATTCATAATTATTACAAGAGAAATGTGAATTTGATGGCTTAGTGCTAGTGAACGAATTGACAAAAAAAGAAACATTTGCCACAGTGGGAAAATTTTGAATCTCTGACAGAGAGATGGAAGAGATTATTTTGACACGTGTTGTACAGCCTGTTCGCACTCTGAATGTATTGCGATCTTTACGAGAACATCTCTGATCTAGTGTTTAATCTGTGACGGATTTTATTTGCATTCATAAAATAACAATGGGGACCAAATAAATTAGAACATGAGCTTGATAATTGTTTTAAATGAGATTCACTCGCATTTCGATAAGTCAGGATGATCACATTGAAGAGAATCTTTGTGGAACGTGAGACCTACGCAATGAAAACATTCAAAGATGATTGATTAGATAATCACTCACCAAAAGGGCATTCGAAGGAATAGCTGATATTGTTTACGCAGCGATAAAATTTAGAGCAATTTTCTTTGTCTCCAAAGAAACCATCCGATGGACATATGAATTCTTAGAAAAAATCACTAAGAGAAATGTTAATCAAACTAACTTGTCTTTGGAATCATTGTACTGCTTCCAACGTTTACACAATCTGATTCAATTTGTCGCACACAATATTGACGTGATTGAGAGAAATGAAGACCGGATGGACAACTCATAGAATAAAATCTATCTGTAAATTGAAATAATTAGAATTCTCTAACTATCCAAGTAGATTCACCTGATAAACAGAGAACGAATTTGTTGCAGTCGGCATCAGCATAGAAACCGTCTGATTTCCCAATGCAAAAAGCTGGAGGGGGAACAGTCGTTGTCTGTAAATAGCTTTTAATTTCGAAACTACGATTCACAAGTGCCTACCACTGTAACAGGAATGGATGTTATTAGTTTAGTTGTAGATACAGTGGTCGGCTTTGTTGGGGCAGTAGTTACGGTTTCTGGTTTCTGAACAAAAAGATTTATTAATGAATTCTTTCTTATTTTGTTCATTTACAGGAATTGTGACGTCAGCAAGTTCCTTTGCTATTGTGCCAATCAAAGGATATGCTTCTCCATTGGACAGTGGACACTTTGCATTAAAATCATCAAAATCCAAAGTCCAAACGAATGCTCCGGCGAACTTTTCTTTTTTGATGTAATTCATCTAAATCCTTTCGTGTTTTTTATTTCAAATTATCGATTCAACCTTTGTTTTAACAGACTGTTTATCGTCATAACTCCAGAATTGATCTCCATCAATCAGATAGGGAACCTGTTGTTCATCATGCCAATGTCGTACTGCTCCCTTTGCTAACATATCACATAGCTAGATAATCATGGATTTTTACTATTCTTGTCACTGTTGTAAGCTTACTTCATAGTAAGAAGCAACTCCGGCCTCCTGCGTAAAGGGTGTAACCCGAGCCGGAGTTCCCAAACTGCCAACAACTGGATTACTAGTGTTCTTCATTGTCCATCCTTCAGCAATATCATAATTCTCTTATTTTGTAGCATTGGCTATACCTCTTCCGTATGTTGCGATTCCGACTACAATTTTATCTCTTGGCATTCCCTTTTCATTCCAGTATTTGGCAGCAAAATCCTAAATATTTCAAATCATTTGTTGTTATTATATTTGACGAGTTATTACAATGTTCCAAACTTTTTCTTCTTCTTTCATGTCCTTTCTTGGATACAATGGAGAGTTAAAGCCAATTTCATTACTCCATGCTCCATGAAAATCGTAATTCATAAGGAATATCAAATCGAAAGAACTAAGAAGCAATTATTTTCAATTATATTTCAATTACTTGGAAATTGCTGGCACATTGTAGCCACTGTCTATTGTTTCCTTGCTTGCGGACACAGCCGCTGTCACTAATAAGACTTCACGGCCAGTTTTCATTGCTTCGCTCTTACAAGCCTCTTTCATTTCCTAAATAATTCTTTTGTTAAACATATTGTGTAGACTTCTATAACTTGAATGAGATTCGCAAAATTAATATAATCCTCCGAACCGGATGGATACTCCCAATCAATGTCAATACCATCAAAGCTCCAGTCTCGAACAAACTTAATGGCTGATTTAATGAAAACATCACGACCAGCACTCGTTTTAGCCATTTCCTGAAAGATAGATTATCATTAATATAATATAAGAAGCTTATTTTTACTTTGAAAAGACGAGTTCCAAAGCTCCATCCTCCAATCGAAAGCAAAGTCTTGAGCTCTTTATCGGTTTTTTTTAAGTCGTTTAATCGACGATATAATCCAGCGCCAGCCCAATCATTTGGAAGATCAGCTGGATCAAAAGCTCTGAGAGAATGATGAAATCAATAAGTTCAATTGTCATTCAACTCAATTACCTTACGGTGAAATCATCGTTCATCCAACCGAAAGCGAATAATATATGCGTACATAATCCTGGTACATAATCCTCTGGCACATACTTACCTCTTCCGGGTCTTTAATAAGGAAGTACACTTTTTGAAAATTTCAAAAGCAATGTATTCACCTGTATTGAGCCCAATTGGTGAAATAGCATCCACGAACATATTTTTTATCTGCAGCATCAAAGGAAACATTCAATTTTTTATTAGGCTGATGATCTATAGAAAATATATCTGAGATAAGAATGATAGCTTAACATACAATGTCTCATTGATCCATAATATGCTGTCGTCACAGATAACATCAGAGTTTGAATGAGAAACCATTTTAGAATCATTTCTATTCAATGAATGAATATTAATTGAGAGCAATAACCATTATAATCACAAAAAAAAGAGAAAAAGGATATAAAAATTATTGTTCAACGAGCACACTGTCAATAGTAGAGAATAAGCCTTTCGTAGCTCTTTTCATCGAACGTGGGTCTTCACTTCCTTAAGAGAGAGAAAGTCATAACAGCTTCTCGAGTTAAAAGCTGTTTATTTAGCTGACCGATAGAACAAATAAACTTCTATAGATTTCAAAGTTCAAAAGAAGGACTTGGTCGTTTATAAAAATTCATCCAAACATCAACGACAACAATCATTTTCAAATGATTATCTTAGAGAATAGTATGAAGACATTAGCATTTATGCAATCACAGTCTACATGTTTGTCTAAATACGTAAACAACATTATTTTCGTTCAAAAATGAGCGGGAAGAGGTCAAATAAACAATAGATCTTTGTCCTATAAATCTATGACGTCACAAAGATTTTCGTTGACCTATAGCAAAACTCTGACCCGAACTAAATAAACAATTATAATATTTGAAAAAAAAGTTTATTCCCCTCAGTCAAAAAAAAAACAAACAGATGGAACAAAAAACGATCATATGCATACAACTATCAACCTCCGACAAAGAAAAATATTCTCTTTTGGAAAAAAAAATTTTTTTTTCAAACATGTTTATTGATTATGCCTAATTGATTGATTATGTGAGATGAAGTACAATTACTAGAAAAATCGATTAATGATAGTGTGATAGAGGACGCTGCATATAGTCTCAGTGCATATAGTATATAGTTTATAATGTGTCTCTATTTCTATTGTATCTTAGATATTTCTATAAATTGGTTGAGGTGGCTGTGTTGGTTCAACACTCCATAATGGCCAAGTGAATGAGAAACAACAACAGTGTACGCGATTGTATTTTCGAAGTGGTTGAGGATGATTATGCGAATTATATTGTCTATCATATGTTCTAACAGCTCCTTTGCGTGAATCATGGTGTTGCTCTTCTGCATATTGCTTTTGTGGATATTGTGGTTGAGGCTGATTGAAAATTCCTCTTCTGTTTTGCGAAGGTGATGTCATTGATTCAATAGCTCCTGCGTTATGTGACATTCTGCTTGCGCCATATTCTTGATGATTATAAGTGTTATGACGATGACTTTGCTGCTGATGCTGATGTTGTTGCTGTTGTTGATTATACGGGTTGTAATGATCGGCAGGCGAATTGTGTGAGATTACAGGTTTGCTTTTTGGGTTATGTTCGCCATTATCGTTCCACGGTTTTGTCGAGGAAAACGGAACTTTTCTGCTGAAATAGATTATTTTAAGTAACAATACGATAAGACATTTTGCTTGAAATTGATAAAGAAAAGTTGTTTTATAAAAAAAAAAAAAGAAAAGGCGCATACTTGTTTTCGCTGATTCGTTGATCAAGATAGTCCATGCTGTTACTCCACTCTCTTCTCAGGCCAGTATTGTATTGATGAGGTTTATCATCATTGAATATGCTATCGTTAATATTGCGTTGTCTTCTCCGGTTATAATCTGTTGCATATCCATCGTACATTTGTCCAGAAAACTCATCATTATAGTTTTCTCTGTGTATATCAGCATTGTGTGCTGATCGTTGATTTCTTGATACTTGAGGTGAATAGTAATTACGATTATCACGCATATGTGGCGATTCAAATGATTGATTTCTTGGCAATATATCTCTCGTACTATAATCTCTTCCATTATCTTGCCTTTGCTGCTGCTGCTGGTTAGAATTACTATTTACAGTAATAGAGTAATTCTTGCTATCACCATAATTATCATCATCGGGCCATCGTCTTTCTCTTCTGTCATCTTTTTCCACTTTGATAGGGATAGTTACACACCCTTGCGACAAATTAATTCCACGTGACTTGTCTATTTGACGGCTAGAATCATCATGACCGCGCACCACATCCAACGATCGCGCACTGCAAGTAAAAAACGGAAAATACGTGTGGAGAACGTAAAATTTCTCTTTTTTTTTATGAGCTATAATTCATATGATGTAAAAGGCGAATGATTGCTAAACGATATGAATGCGACGCGCTACTCCTATAGAAGACGAAGAGCATTTGCTTTGAGAAAAAGCGTTTCATAGCTGATCTTTCCGATTCTCTTTTTTCTTTTTTGCTTCTGGTTTCTTTTTCAATTTGTCTTTGAATTTACCGTTGCCAAGTATCTGGAGATGGGCGTCTAGAATCTGAATGATCATAAGGTGAATATTCCGAATTCATCCGATTATGTGATCTAGGTCTAGGTTGGCGTGACATAGTGCTATAAAGCTTTTCCTGTCGACCAGGATGATCTATGGCTTTAGGTGGATAGAGAGACGACATTTATATTGTTCCCAGTTCTTTCTATAAAAATGTTTAAAGGTTAAAATATGATCAGCTATGAAGTAAGAGTTAGATGGAGAATGAGAAGGAATGTCATGGATGTAGAGGATATGGAAGAAAAGAAAGATGAAAAGGAAGAAAAAAAAGAGAAAAAAAAGAAAAGAAAAAAAGAAAGAAAAGAGAAAGAAAGGAGAAAAGAAAAAAAAGGAAAAAAAAAGAAAAAAAGAGAGAAAGAGAGAGAGTGGAACTAATATTGAGATGAAAAAAAGATTAAAAAGCAAAAAGAAATAATAATCAACATTATGAAGTCATTTAGTTATAAACATGATTGTTTGGAATAAAACAAGTGAAAAAGAGAAAAGGAAGGTTGAATAATAGAGAGAGTGTATGAGAGAGAGAGAGAGAGTTAGAGAGAAAGAGAGAGAAGAGGGAAAGACTGAAAGAGAATATGGAAAGAAAGTTATTTTTGATATTTTATTTTATTTCGCTACTGATATTCAATCACCATTTTGAATGTGAATGGGCGTTAAATATGCGCCCCGATGTAATGTCGTTCTTTTCTTCGCTAAAAAAGGAAAATTTTGAAGATGAGAAAGAAATTTGATAGAAAAGTTCATTTTTATCGCTTTTTCTTCGTTACTTAAAAGACAGAAAATGAGAAGTAGTATGTTAAATAGACAATTCTTTAGTTATAAATAATAATAATATTATAAAATGAAAATAATATATAAATACATTAACTATACAGTATATAGTATATAGTATATAGTATATAGTATATAGTATATAGC